TGTATAGATGGAACTCATGGGGATGCCAGAGCCACCAGAGCAGACACAATAAGCAAAAGAGGGATTTGGTATGAAGTGGCAATACTGCTGTCAGCACCCGCAATAACAATGGCAGTCGCCTGGTTTATTACTTGTCCCATCTGAGTCTTGTTTGGTCCCGTCAAAGTGGCAGGGGCAACAGATGCGTTTACATTCTCTGGAATGCTTGATGTTGTTGTGTTAGTTGTGTTGTTGTCAGTATTCACAATGGTTTCCTCCTTCTCATTATCGGTGGCAGGTCTGTTTGGGGAATGAGTTGTATCAACTGTGGTATTTATTCCTTCATCGTTCCCATTTTGCGAGGGAGACTGTGTTGATATTCCTTGCACTTGTTCAATGTTTTCCGTTGTATTGTTGTGATCCTCCTCCACTGAAGGAGTGTGCCCCGAAACAACAACGGATTCAGATGCGGCAGGCTTGGAGATCTCAGAGATGGACACTTCTTTATCTTGTGCCTTCGCGGGTTCACTGGAATTCTTTTCCATTTCAGGCCTCTTGGTGTCACTGGGGACGTTTGGTGCAGATATAGAAGGCTGTCGCTGTGAATGATCACCATTATTGTTGGTTTTGCTCTCGTGAGCTTGTTTCTCCCTCCTCTCTATATGTTGCTCAGATGCAGCTGAAGAGGGTTGAACAACCTCCTTTTCACTCACTCCAATTGGTGAACCGCGTTGGTTTCCTGCATTTGATGGTGTAGTAGGTACATGTGATGCACCATTTGCATTACCAGCTACAGCTAAACCCCTTTGGCCTACAGCCAATGCAGGAATAGATGGTTGCGGCTGGGTCTGTGACGCCAGTTTTCCTTCCCTGGATTTCGCTTCTTCTTGTTCGTTCTTTTGCTGAAGCGCTTCCCCTTCCGACTCCTCTTGTGCCATTATGCGTTGCTTTTCCTCTTCCGCTTCCTGTTTATCTTCTTCTTCCATTAGGCGTTTCTCATCTTCGTCGTATGTAATGCGGAAATCAATTGTGCTATTCAACTCAGTGCATACTTCAGCGTACTTGGGACACAAGATACTTCCGCCTCTAAATGCTGAGCCTCCTTCGGGGGTTATGACACTGTTATCATTATTGCACACGTGCCAATTGTCGGTACCACTGTACTTCACCTTAACCTTACCATCCTCACAGTTCACATAGGCACAAATACCACGAACGGTTAAACCGTATTCGTTTTCTTCTTTAAGCTCGAGATCCTTACCTTTCAGACATCGTGACATATTCCCCACGACACTACCAGGCATGTACTCTACATTACCATTCTCACAACTTGTCATATGAATCGGTTTGATAATAGGATAACCATCCGTCAGGTCATTCTTAGAATCAGTGGTATCAGTTTCTGGCGAAAACTGCAAATACACAGGGGAATACTTTTTCGCAGCTTCTATCCC